TAGGGAAAGGGAGGCAGGTGCTCTGCTGAGCTTGGCGGGGTCCCCTGGGCGGACAGAAGACTCGGGGGACACTGCTTTGTGCAGCTTCATAGCCTGACCCGAAGACAGCTCCCCTGCTCTGCAGCCTGGAGGCTGACGTCGCTCCTGCCTTCTCCACTACCCAGGACTTTGTCACCGCTCTGTCGATTTTACTGCGAGGGACCGTCCACGAGAAGCTAAGGTGGACGTTCAATTTGTATGACATCAATAAAGACGGCTACATTAACAAGGAGGTAAGCGAGCTGCGGCCCGGGCAGAGGGGGCTGTGGTGAAGGTGCCCAGCTGGCAGAAAGCAGCCTCCCCTGAGGACAGAGGCATCTTAAAGAGGCAGGGTCTGCCCCAACAAGAGGAAGAAGGTGACCTTGACCTTCGCCATCGCACTGCCCTGCCGTCGTTTCCAGGCACTGGAAAAACGTTATAGTAGGTTCCTTCTCACTGGGTCACAAATGACGCGTTTTAGTTACTGTTCCCTGAGAAACCACATTCATCAGTCAGTCGCCACAGGTCAGGCTAAAAGCCTGAGTTGTAGAGATGCAGACAGCACTTAGAAAAGAGGTCTTTGTTTTTGTTTTTGTTTTGTTGTTTTGGAGAGGTTTTTCCTGTAGGGCACATGCGCTCACCAGAAAGACAGCGAGACCGAGAAACAGAGAGCAAGAAATCAACCCCCCACCAGGGGAGATGACCACGCCGCAATCCCTTCTCCTCCATTCTCCTCTCAGGATCTTGGGCACGCATGTACATGCACCCAGTCTGAGTTTAAGTCACCAGGTCCCGGACGTAAAACGTGGTCTACTACATGGGAGCCCAGAGACATAGCCATTACTCCAACTGCTGGTCTCAGAAAAGAGATTTTTAAGGAAGAGGAGACTATAGCAGGATCTGAGTGATCAGAGCCTAATAAGCTACTAATAAAACAGAAAGGGGAGGAGCGCAACAGATGGTGTGGTGGTGGTTAATGTACTGGACTCCCACATGGCTGACCGGGGTTTGAGTCCTGGACCTGAGGACTTGAGAACCACTCCAGGAACGTGTGTGCATGCCCAAAATCCCAGGAGGAGGAGAACGGACTGTGGCATGGCCATCCCCTCTGGGGGGTGATTTCTCACTTTCCCTCTCTCTCTGTCTTTCTCTGTCTCTCTTCAGTGAGCACACACACCCTATGGGAAAATCATTAAAAATAATGATGATTTTTTAAAAGGGGGTGCTAAAAGGTGCAGCCATCTTTAAAGAAATCATCACAAATAATTTCTGAACCTGCACTGCTTGACACCCTTAGAGCCCCAGAGCACAGTAGTCTAGCCGGTGAAATATACACAGGCCTACCTCAAAACTCTCTCTGGTATCTGCTCGATGCTGGTATCTCAGCGAAGCTTGAACATGGCATCTGGTAACATCCACTACGTGTGAGGCCCAGCACCTAACAGTGTGAATATCACCTCCATTCTTCACCTCAACCCTGCGAGGTTCTCTTCTGACAGAAGATGAAAGCTCAGGACCCTTACCCCACTTCCATACCCAGTTCTTTCGGCTGTGTATTTGCACAACACATTATTTAGGAGCATATCAGGCATTTGAGGTATTGGAGATAAAGAGGTAAACAATCAGACCTCCTTGGATGACAGAATTAATCAAGTGCTCCTAAAACGAAAAGAAAGTGTGGAAAAGATAGCTGGCTCTTCCTCTAGTAGTCATTTGAAGATAATCCTATCCAAGTTGTGGGCAATTAAAATCCTGAGAACAATCAAAATTGGTCTTGGGCCAGCAGGTGGCACAGAGGTTAAGGTGGCTAAATCCCATACAGCCAGCTTCATGCTTTGAGTCCCAGACCCAGCAGCTTGAAAATCACGGGGGCATATGTGTGTGTGTGCTCAAAATCCTAAGAGGAGAATGGAGAAGAAAGGATTGTGGTGTGGCCATCCCTCCTGAAGAGTGATTTCTCCCTCTCTCTGTCTCTCTCTCTCTCTCTGTCTCTCTCTCCCTCCCTCTCTTGCAAGCACACACGCCCTATAGCAAAACTAAAATATGGTCTTTAAGTCCTGTCTCTAATTAACAACAACAACAAAAATACTCAGAGAGGAAATATCTCAGTGTCCATGTGGATGAGAAAGGCTTATAAAACATGCATCCAAAAATAAGCACATGGATAGACACATACATTCTCAGTTGAGAGTTTTGTCATGAATGGAGTTAATTTTTGTCCATTTTTTTCTGCATCTATTTTATTTGCTTTATTTTTAATCAAAGGTTAAGTGAGTGTCATTTGATGTCTTTTCTGGTTCCGTCCATTGAAGGGAGCCTCAGAGCAATGACATTCCTAGAGCAATGGGTGCATCTAGCATTCAGACTGTGGTTTCTAACAGTCTCCAGGAAAAGGAACTAGTGGCTAATTTCAGGACCGGGAAAGAGAAAATACAAGGTGATCCTAGAACATCTTATAATACTAGAAAGTATGGAAACAAACAAAAAAACAGATGGGACATGTCAAAGGCTAAGGAAAGCTGCCTCCAAAGCAAAGTGCAGAGGGAGCCAGGCCCCACATGGCCAACTGCAGTTCAAATCCTTGCACTGACTACACACTAGTGCTTGTGTGTGCATGCTCAGAATCCTGATAGGATGAGAAGTGGAGGAGAGAGGGTTGTAGCATGACCAAGGCCCATGGGGGGTGTTCTCTCTCTCTCTCTCTCATACACATTCTCTCTGGTATTAAAAAAGAAATAAGGGAATTGAACTGAGTTCCCAATAGTCAAAGTTAAAGCAATTTAAGCAACAAAAATTTTAAATGATAGTATGGAATTATAATCTATGAAATATATAGAAAAATAAAAAAAGACCAGTGTCCCATTACGCAAATGCTGCAGTAATAATTTCTACAGACAAGATCCACTGCCTGATACTAAACTCATTGGAGAAATTTGACAGATACCCCCTTAATCAAGTTGTCAAAGTTAACATCACCAGTAATAAAACACACGGTGTTCTTACCAAAAAGGCATAGCCTCAATCTCATCATATGAAAACTAGGGACTATCCCAAATAAATGTTCTCCAAAATAATTGACCAGGACTCATATCAAGAGCATTGAGACCCAGAAAGACAAGACTGAGAAACTGTCACAGACTAGAATAGCCTCAGGAGACAGAGTTACTAACTGTGATGTGAGATCCTGGCAGGGGGGTGGAATAGAAAGAAAACTGATGACGTTTGAGTAAGTTCTATAGTTCAGTTAATAATATTGAAGTGATGTTAATTTCCTGGGTTTGATCATTGTGCTCTGATTATGCAAAGTATTAACATTAGAGGAAACTGGGTAAAAGATGTACATGAACTTTCTACACTGCTTTTGTAATTTTTTTATAAGACTAAAATTACTAAGAATAGGCTAAAAACAAACCAACAAATGCAATAAAATAAGTACATGGAATGAGGAGACACAGACAAGGGAGGCTGGAGAGAAGCTGCCCCCGGCAGATACCAAAGCAACATCCTGAAAAGAAGAATGTCTTCCTACACTCCCTTACCCCCATCCTGAGTAGGGGCCAGGAGGATCAAAATAATAGTACCTAATCTACCTAGAGCTAAGAAGTTCTGAAACCAGCTCGGCCATGGTAGCCCACAGAGTAGAACTCTGCTCTGCAAAACTAGAGAAGACCACATAGAAGACAGAAGACCATGTAGAAGATAGTTGTATTCTGGGTCAACCTGAAACACACTGGGTGTGCATGCATGATCCTGGCTGGCTGGCTGGAAGGCTATGGGGGAGCAGAATGTCACAGCACAATGAAACTCTGTTGAGGATGCCTGTTTCTCTCTCTGTCTAGACAAAAATAAATAAAACTTTAAGTGCTGGAGCAGGACAAAGAGACACAACAGCTGATGGTATGATGATTAAGGTGGCTGAATCCCACATGGCTAACTGCATGGCTGGAGTTCCAGATCTGGCTGCTCAATATCCGTGCCAAGCACGTGTGCATGCATGACCCAAATCCTGAAAGGAAGGAGAAATGGAGGATAAGAGATTGTGGAGTGGCCATTCCCCATGGAGGATTCTTTCTCACTTTCTCCTTCCCTCTCTTTCTTTCTGTCTCTCTCTGACAAGCCCAAAAGTAAAAAAAGAAATAAAAGGAAGAAGAAAAGTTCTGATTCACTAGGTCACTAGGTTTGGCTAGACATGAGAAATGAAAACTGATTTTTTTTTTTTAAGTTTTTGAAATAGGGCACATGTGTTTGCCAGAAAGATAAAGAGAGTGAGAAATCACCCCCCAGGGGGATGGCCACACCACAGTCACTTCTTCTCCAGTCTATCTGAGGATCTTGGGCATGCATGCACACAGACCCAGCATAATGTTCAAGCCAAGTCCAGACTCACTGCAGTGCTAGCCATGTAGAATCCAGCACCTTAACCTCCACGCCACCTGCTGGTCTGAGAATGGATCTTTTTAATAAGTGCCCCAAGCTGGGTGATCGCCTTCAAGTGCCTGTGGATAAACCTAGCTATTGGTTCGTTTTTCTTAAGTTAAAACAGCAATGGTAGCTGTGAGGGTTTTTAAATCTCTATGTCAAAACATGAACTTATCTTTAATTCAGAATACTAGTTCATGTGCTTCAGGTTTGCAAATTAAGATCCTTTATAACTTGCCTCACTGAGGACCATGCCCAAGAAGGGCTAACCTACCTAACAGCTTCTGAAAGCCAGAATTTTCTACTGTCCTCTCTGTAGAAGGAGGCATGCAGGGCCCATTCTCAAAATGGCTAGTGGACTTCAGCTGTGAAATATTGCTTTCTGGGACTAAAAATGAGGATCTTTTGCCAAGACTTCTCCCTCCAGATTAATTTCTATATTAGTAGGGCAACCTCTGTATCCTCTCTGTCTCTTTCTCTGTCTCCCTGTGTCCCTTAATTTTTTTTTTTTTAAGGTAAAGCATTCTCTGGGCTCTCAGGCCTCTTCTTTAACTTGCTAATTCTTCATGCCTTTCTTCCTCCCATTTAGGAGAGGCACAAACCAAGGTCCATTCTGAGATGGCTACTGAACTTCAACTGTAAAATCTTGCATTTGCATGTGCATGCTGCACTGTTCTCATTTTTTGCCTTTTAAAATTAAAATATAAAATATTCTTATTTTTTTCTTTCTTTTTTATTTTTTTCTTCTTTCTTCTTCTCTTTTCTTTTCCTTTTTCTTTTAACTTCATCCCTTGGTGGCATAGCCTCCACGCACTGAGTGTCTAGACAGGTCTAAGAGAACAGTATCCAAACATCTGATTACTATTAGGGTCAGCATATTCCTCAATTCCCACTGAATCTGACACACAAAGAGTGAAAAACAGAACAGAAGAGAGATTGTAGATCACCTCCTCCAGCATGCCTCTGAGGGCTCAGATTGAACTTCAAGAATTAGGAAGAAATGCACAACTCACTAGATGATTAGAAATCACCACAGGGACACAAGAAATATGGAAAGCAAGAAAATACCTATCCTTCAAGGGAAAAGAATAACTCCTCTTCATCCACAGTAAAATGGAACCCATGGAAATGTCAGATAAAGAATTTAGAATATTGGGACCAGCAGTTAGTGTAATGGCTATGTCACTGGACTCCCATGTAGTCGACCGCAGTTTGCGTCCCGGACCTGGTGGCTTAAAACTCATGCCGGGTGTGTGTGCATGTGTGCCCAAGATCCCGAGAGGAGAACGGAGGAGAAGG